TTTTTTTGTTCTTAATGTAAATGCTTTTCTACATAATTTTATTATGTACTTAAATTTCTTATGACACGCTTAGATTCTGTAGTGATTAAATCAACAAATTTATGCATATTTGTCGTCTGTAATAATTAGTTGGTACAAACTGCTTTCTCAAATCGTTATATACAACAGATTCTAAAACAGAATGATATTTGTTCTCCAATTTATCGCAAAAAGTACATTACCGTTCATTTATTGGCTAACAGGTCTAGTCCATCGGCCACTTTCAATAAAATGATCAGCGTAATGGAGATAAACAAACACGGAACTTCTAAACGCTTACCAAATCAAGATTTGGTTGATATCTGTGATAAAATGTTCTTATAAAACAAAGCATTACTTGAATTATTTAGTCTACCAGTTTTGTACAACTGATCCTTTAATCTTTGTTTCACATTATACAACTAGAAATGTGTTGTCACGCCACGGATGCCCCCGCATGCAGCCAATATTTCAGATGTTATAATATTTAGTTCCTAATTTGTTTGCACAAATTATTTTTTTCATTTTAAGTTCAAAGCCCTTAAAACTATTCAATGTTAACACAAACCATTTTAAACAGTTCAAGACACTGAAACTATTAAGTGTTAACCTTTTGAAAATTGTATATTGCATATTTCTAGCCAACTTAATGGCTACATACATTTCCACAAAAGTATGAGTGCTGAAACTGAAAACTCTAAATTTTTCCAACATTCAAGGGAGATAACTTTATCCAAAATCATTGAACCACGACCAAATTCAAACTTGAACTGCTTATTCCTAAGAGGGATGACTCTGTCAGTTATCATCAAACCATGACCAAACTGGAAATTGACCAATGCATTCTTATGATATTTTGTTTGTTTGTTTGTTTCATTTTACGCCTTTTTTCAACAGTATTTCAGTCATATAGGCGGGTAGTTTCCTAACCATCGTTCCTGGAGAGTTACACCAGTACTAGACTACCTTCCTCCGCGCTAAACTACCAAAGCATATCTTTAATTTGAGTTGAAAATGTACAACTGTTGGGGAGATATTGAAAGGGAACTGACAATTGCCTTTTTTTAAAGTTAAAGGGACATGACTCTGCCAAAAATCATTGAACCATGACAAAATTTAAACTTGACCTACGTATTTCTTTGATGTAACCATATGTAAAATTTGAGTTGAATGTGTAATACCCTACAGGAGATAATGAACAGAAACTGAAAACTTCATATTATTTTCAAAGTAAAAGGGACATAACTTTGCCAAGAACCATGACCAAATTCAAACTTGACCTGTACATTTTCATGACATATCCATATGTCAAGTTTGAGTTGAATTTGTAATACGTTGGGGAGATAATGAACGGAAACTGAAAATTTCATATTATTTTCATAGTAAAAGGGGCATAACTTTGCCAAAATCATTGAACAATGACCAAATTCAAACATGACCTGTAATTTCTCATGACATATGCATTTGCCAAATTTGAGTTGAATGTTTGCAACCGTTACTAAGATAATGAACGGAAACTGATGATGAAGGAATGACGAACAGGATAACACTATATGCCCCATCCATTATATGGCGGGGGCATAAAAATAGTTCAGTGTATCCAACGGTCTGAAATAACCTTACTTAATAAAAACCAAAGTACGAGTATATAATAAATCTTTCAATAATGAATACCAATTCATCCTGTTTTGATTTTCAATAATATCTTGTTTCGACATCAAAAAAACCTTAATATATTTGTTTTCATCTGAAGCCAACAATTTTATCCAAAATTTCTTAATAATTCCAGTGCATTTCCCATTCCACTCACGGTTTGGTAACTTTTCCCAGGTCAACAGAGAAAACTTTTACTGATTTATGGTGACATAGAAACACACCCTGTTCCAGTTTCTGATGACAGCAAGACGAGATTTTAAGAAGTCAAAAGTGCACTTGATTATTTTTTAGCGTTAAAAGTAACATATAGTCGTTGTCTTTGAACCCAAGCAAGCATAACTTTGTCTATGGTGTCACAATTGTGCAGTTCGTCATCCTTCCTTAATGTGTCTCTTCGTATACAGACTTCATCAGTTTCTTCTGAAAAAAATGGAAGCAAAACACTAAACAGAACAAATAACCTTCAAATATAAACAGTTTACAGTTATACATATGGTCTTAAACAAATGTATCATTAGATCAATTTCAGGTGTAATAAACCTAACATAAGTGATACTTAAAATGATTGTATCTCCGGTAAAAAAGTACAACATTTCTTTTTGTTGTCTACACTACCATCCCATGAATATAAGTAGACACCTAAACTCTTCCGTTCAACAAATAGATTTTCGTTTAATTTAATAACCGCTTTTGTGCATATAGTACAACTTGATGGATAAAAAATTATATGCCTTATGGTGTTGTTATACGTAGCTTAAATCTGTTTTTTGTTGTAAAGAAATTACGCATTTTTTAAACAAATTTGAAAGGTGCAAAGTTACAAAAGTTTTTTTTCTTATTATTACTGTGAAAGTTTTTTTAATGAAATATAACACGCAATTAACAAAAATTAAAACTTACGACCAAACACTTCTTTCAATTTCTTTTCCAATTCGTCCATATCTTTAAGATGATCAAGCGGTAAGGAGTCTTCATGACTGAATTCTATTTTCACTCTGTTTTTAGAGGAGTCTTCATGACTGAATTCTATTTTCACTCTATCACCTGTATAGAATGCAATGTTATGATCATACACATGTGTCACACATTCTGGAGTTCGGTCAGTTAAATGACCTTTGATGTAGTCATATAAATTGGTAACTGTAATGAAATCTTTACTTCTATTCCAGTAGTCACTACAAGGCTGACAATTATCTGGACACATTTCCCCCTCTGACCTCGCTTTTAAACCTCTGATAAAAAATCTTGTAAAGAGGCTCCCATTATTATCCATCTGCGCCTTCTGGTCTGGCGAACAAGAGTTCATCTGAATGTGTATCGTGTCCAAGTTTAGAACTGGAGGGTAGCATCGATCCAACACTATTATCAGTTTACCAATATTTTCCAATTGCTTTAGCTCTTCTTTAAACTGACTAAGAGTGATACTGTCTTCACTTGATCCAAGATGAAACTTGGAATCTTCAGACTGATTTGATGGAGATCCGTGACAGGAGATATATATAAGCATGGTATTTATATCTGTTTTCTCACTAAAGTAAGTGATGTTTTCTTTGACCTTTGGCCACAATTTTTCTCCATCATCTATTTTGTCTGGAGCAGAGGGTACAACTGTTCGAACGTTGTTGTTACTGAAAAGAACATGTATGCATGAATAGTTAGGATTATTAAGGGACTGATGGGTGCTTTTTAAAATACAGCAGCAAATAAAGCATGGAGATTATCGAGAATGGTGAATAGAAAAAGGAACATATATAAACTCAATCAGAAAGCATTGACGCGCTATGGTCGATGCAAACAGCAATCTTCTCACTCAATGCAAGATTGTTGTTCGAAAATTCAATAACATTTTGTCATAAAATCCTTATTTATGAATATGTTTACTTTAGAATTAGTCAGAGTAAGCATACATGCATGCAATATGAACATGTTACAAAATATTGTACTGTTTGCTCAAATGACATGTACTCGCTGAATGAGAAGCTAGTTTATAAATTCATGATTCCGGGCTTCTAGATACTTCAGTATAATTTATCCTAAGTAAATAGAAAAATTAAGGTTAGGCAAATAAGAAAGATGCAGCATTTCTATTAAATATTGTTTTAATATGACTAACAATGCCATTGTTTTAAAAGTAATCGAGAGATTGTGATATGGCAGCAAAAAGAAATTTACAATCATCTCGATTCTTGGTAAAATCTATTGTAATGACAAAAAGGGTCAGTAATTTAAACCGATTGATTCTGGTTTATGCGGAAATTGTAATATTTATAAATATGTATGTTAAAAACAATATTATGTAATTTTAACATCCCGTGTAAATTATGGATTATGACTGATTGACTGTGTTCTTTCTATCAAAATACCATTTTGATTCGAATTCTTAAGGACTTTTACAAGATTTATAAAAAGTATCGAACTGCTTCAAACAGGAGAAAAACTTCTGCATTTGTAATTGGCATATACATGGCTTATATTTTATAGTTTTGGTCACTTGAACTTTAACCTCAAAGATTATTTATCCTTGAGTGTCACATGGTAAATTCTGGAAAATGATAGCCCGGATAAAACAGATCGTCATGACTGTTAGATCTTTGCAAGGGGACTTAAGTGTATATTGTTCAACATAACATATGGTAAAAACAAAAGACATTGGTATGTTCAATGGGTACCCATACCATTGCCTTTTCAGTTATTGGATTTTCTTTGATTTAAATGCGGGATTATTTTCATACACACCAGTAAAAGTATTACTTAAACTGACAGTTTTGTAAGTTTGGGTTTTCAATTTCCATTATGAATATAAAAAGATCCAACCCGGCATTCTTCTCACATGGATTTTTTAGGAGGTTTATGGTACAACTTACTTTTGTTAATTTCTTTTGGAGTTTAAGACAACACTTTTTTTTCTTTTCCGGATTAAGTCGAGTGGGATAAATGTGCAGCCTGACCTGGACACATAATACTGATCCGCAGCTCTGCTCATTCAACTGACTGTTGAGGTGCGCATTTTCTCCCCTTAATTATGACAAGTTCTGATCTGTGACACAGGACCATAACCCCTTTAATATTTAGCATTGAAAATGCACAATGCTAATTTATTAAATTTTATGGAAAAAAATGATATTGAAAATATTTAATTGACAAAGGAATAGATTGACAATCTCTATTCTGATGAGCAATACATAAATCATTTATAAACCTTATCCCAAATACTCGAGGTGCAAGAGATGTCAACAGCTTCTCCAATTCCTTAACATCTTTGGTCAAAGCCTTTGATATTTCAACCCTTTTTGCATCTTCCGTATCTTTTCCTGCTACAAGTAACGCTGCCCATCCATTACCTTAAAACATAAAAAATAAAGCCATATGCCCAAAACATTTTGCCACAAGTTGTATTGAAACTAAATTCATTTGCTGGCAGATAGAAAGAAATCATTTGACAAAATTCATGTCAATTTATCATTGTATAAATCAAGGGCCACACTTAACGTCTTCTCATAGGAAGAAAATTGTAGTAAATGGGCTCTGTATAACACAATGTTCTATTGCAAGATAAAATTAAAATTTCAAATTTGACCTTCAAAGTCAAGGTCATTAACAAGTCAATTTTATACTTAACAATAAATTATTCCACGTGTAAGTATGTTTATAAGTGTTGTATATTATAACAGTCACAGCAATTTAAGCAAAATTTAAAAATTGACCTTTATGGTTAAGGAAAGTCAAACTTGAATGTTTTCAATACGTTTTGATTTGCCCAAAATGAATCAAAGCAGTGCAAACATGAATTATTGAACACAATCTAAGATAGATTCAATATTGTTAATATGATGTGGGTTTTTTTTAAATTTTTGTTGTTGGATTTTTTATTCTTATCATTTTTATAATTATTATCTTTTCATCATTTTTATTATTGTTATCATTATCATTATTATTGTTATTATTATTATTATTATTATTATTATTATTATTATTATGTACAAAATAAATGTGAAAATAAATAATAATACAGTTTTGACAGTTTTTGCAAAATGACAAAATTTAAGCTTGTTGATCCTGATCATTTTTTTTAGTTAACTTGGTTATCATTCATTAACTGAAGTATACATACGGTAACTATGGATAGCCAACGATAGCTTACCGTTAAGCAAACACTCGGTGCATTTTGTCAGGTACGAGCAGGCACTTAAGCAATATCACGAACAATCGTAAAGCCAGTTGGATAACTCTAATTCAAGGTCCCTATCCACAAAGGTGTGCTTATATTTTCCTGATTATCTCTACCATTTTTAATTTAATCATTTTGGGTGTTCTTTAGGGACTCTGATTTTCTCCATTGTTGCCATGTCAGTGTTAGTTTTGCCGTGTGGAGGCTGTAAAATGGCCCCGTTTATACAATTATTGAATTATTGAACTTTTGATGCCTCTTTTTTGGATCTTTATATTACTGTCAACAACGATACTATTCACATTAAAATCTATGATAAGAGTGGTGACTTTTATTTTGGTATCGTGAATTAGATGGACATGTACCCTATGTAACATCTTAATGGGCATATGTATCTCAGTTGATTAGATAAGCAAGAGCATGTAGCCACGTCAATGATTTTAACAAAAGGAATATTTTCATTACTTGCAAGCTTCTCAAACAGGACTTCCGCTTTCATTTATTATAGAAATATTCTAAAAAATTTGATTATGATCGTAATTTTGATTAAATGCCAAAATTCAACACTTATTTAAAACAAATCATCCACTAGGGATAAGGAAGCCTGATTTTCATGGGGATGTGATTTACAAAAAGTTAGATCTTGCGTCATATTAATTTTGTGCTGTCTTTATTAATATTATTAAAAGTTTACCCTACTATTTTATGACATATCGCATGTTTGGTGTTCAACCCTTTTACAGTTTGACACTGCGCTTTACTTTTTTGATTACACCCAACGGACCAAGTGAGAGACACTATGATGGACAGCTCTTAAAACCCATCGGGACTGGATTATCTTTATTTTTGTTTTCTGCCTTGCTTCGTCGGGCCCTTGTAGGTGATGTTCTTGTTGCTCTGTCTTCCTTTAAGACATTGAGTACTTTTGTTATGGTCACTGGGTTTACTTATCTATGTGTATACATGATCATTTCTGTGTTTTACTTATTTCACCTTTTGTAACGATAACGACTATTAGAATTTCCTTGGTGTGGATTCGTTTTATTTACAATTGTCTCATTTAAAAGGAATATGGTTGTGCTAAGAGTGAGGCGTTGGTGCACAATTAACCGGCTTAAACTCCCCAGCAGTGCTTTTGCTGCTGACCGTTTCAAGGCGGCACCCCCCTCCCCCTGTGTTCCTCAGATGTATGTATTTGTTGTTTCATACTATTATGGTGACACTTTGTGTCCCTTCTTGTTCTTTTCTAGTCTACGGTAAGAATCTTCCCTCTTCCCCAGTTTTGTTCTAATTTTGCGTCCCTTCTCTCCCAACCTTAAGTACCCTTTCCCTTTACCTTTTACATTTGTTGGCTTTTTAATTAGTAGTCGTTTTAATTCACTTGTCGGTTTCTTTGATTTCCTATTTGTGTATTAATAAAGTAATCGCCCGTCCATGTTTAACCTTGCGCCCTGTCCTGCTATTATTAGGTATCCTGCTGATAATTTTCTGGTTGCCATATATTGCTTGGTCCTGATAAGGTTGCGTTCATTGAACGCCGCTCTTCCTTGATGATCTTGTATTTCATATTTGATGATCCCACGACTTTATTGCTGTGTTTGCATCGTTATGGTATTTTAGTTTCTTCTATCTGATCTTATTCCTTGATGAGTGGTTCAAAATTTCTTCATTTAATATTGTTGAATCATCTTAAGGATATGTTGCCAGTTTTTTAAATTTGTCTGTTGACGTGTTATTTGTGATAAACAGACTTCTCAACTTCTGATCCCTTTCAAATTCAATTTCACTTAGTTTACCGGTCACATTGAAAGTTCAATAATAACTGTCGTTTGAACATATCTGCGCGCACGTTTCTTAATTCAAATTTGATCATTTACATGTTAAAATGTTGATTTCTGCTGAAGCCAGTGCTAAGGGAATGGAAGGTAACTTGAATTTTCCAGTTCTAGAGGAGGTTCAAGCGAGCCTGCAACATTTTATCAATTTTGTCCTTTTGGGCGTTCTTTAGGGATTCTGTTTTTCTCAATTTATAACCACATTCTAGAATCCATTCCTTGAACTCACCAGTATTGAGCAATGAGTGTAATGATTCTTGCTCAAGTAAACATGGAGTGACCCCTCACAAGTTTGGAACTGATTAAAAATTTTGTCTTTTGATAAAATAAATAACCAATTATGTCATTTCATACTTGCTACTTTTATCATCAGGCAAATCCCAATATGTTTACTACTTTTGTTAAGTAGGCACACATTTTTTTAAACTTACTTACTTTAATCAACTTACCGACCTATCCAGAAAAATATGAGATATTCTTGCTTACCAATATTAGGTGTTAATTTTGTACCACAGTAACATGTTATTGGGTTGAGAAAACTATTCTTCTCACATGCTATGCACACTTCTATTTTCTGAATGCAGTTTTCATTGTGTTTTTGATTCATGGATGTCTGATTTGCTACAATACAAAAGTTGGACTTATATATACTTGATATTTTAAATTGAAACTGAAAAAATGATTTATAAAAATAAATTTTATCAAAAGTAATATTTCAACATAACAATAAGTCACTAAACAAGCTTCATCTCAGAATATATCTACTATTGTACAATGTATTAATTCACAAAGTGCACTTGTGACCTACACCAGGCGTTGGTCATCACTACAAGTGTCCATATGACACTGATGCTCATCACTCACTATAATTAATTTTGTCATTTGCTAGATATGACAAATTTTTATTCTTAATTTAGATCGCAAAAGAGTTCTAAAGTTATTGGTTAGACAAGTTCTTAGAGGCCAAAGCCAAAGTGACCTTTTACCTACTGTCATGAAATGGCCTTGGTAATTGTTTGCACCTGGATAACAGGAAAAACAGACTGACTTACACATGACTGGACTGACCACCCCACTTTGTTAGTCAGGGCATAAGAACTGAACCTTACTCTGGACATTTCTAGTGCAACAGTTTTATGCAAATTGGCTGACTGACTATCCAGTCGCTACACTGGCATATAACATAGTCACTGGTTAACCTAGTTTCCACAAAAGAAGACATATGACTTTGTTTTACTGTTTGTGATATTGATGTAGCAAAGAAAGGAATAGGCGGGACAAAAATTTTCTCTGCTTCATACTGGTAAGGTCCATTGACCCCATGGGTAGGGCTATCACAGACTCTATGGGCAATATTTAAAGAAGGGATATCAAATAATTGAGATATACCCCGTCATAATTAGAACACAAAATTATATGCAAGAACATTTATCCTTTTTTGTGAACATTATTTCTAGATTTGGAAAGATTCCTTTCACCAAGAACAGATTTTTTATAATGTGAAAATGAAATTGTTTGACATATATTTACAAATCGCTTCACAGAAGCAGTACGTGTTCTGTTAATCATGTTCTTGAGGTAAATATTGTAGCTAAGATTAGAAAAAAATCTTCCAAGGGGTAACAAATTTTACAGGACAGCCTCGGCATTGGAGACATAAAATTTGGTTTTGTTGTTGCTGATAAGCAATTTAGAGATTTTAAATTCATAGAGAATTTTTACTTTTAGAATAACTGAATTTATTGTAAAGAGGTTATTACTCAAAAACATCTGAAATTTGACCTTAAAGATTTTCCTTAAAGACATTTTCTACAGTTTTATGAAAAATTAATCCTTTCATAGAATTTTCTAAATTTTTTGTATGATGAGTAAAATTTAATGACGAATTTAAAAATAAAAAGAAAAATGTATGTTGACGTGTTGGATTTCTTGTAAAATGGCAGTTTCCATGGTAACCGTATATCAAAAAACTGTCAAAAAAGCCTTACTGTGTTATAACGAATAGAAAATGTATAAGATAGCTTAAAACACACAACGAGCATTGTTTTATGCAAAGATAATCTTATCTAATGATTCTGTATGAAACAAATGATAATCTGAACATATTTCTTTAAAAAATGAGTTTTCCATGTTCCTCAACCGAGCAAAAATTGAGAAAAATAAACATGAATTCTGAGAATAATTAGAGATATTGAAATAAGTGTTTCATAGGATTTTCTAATTTTTTTGTATGTTGTGTAAAATTTAATGACAAATTCAAAAAGAAAAAGAAAAATATATGTTGGCGTGTTGGATTTTTTGAAAAATGGCGGTTTCCATGGTAACTGTATATCTCAAAATTGTCAAAATAGCCAAACTGTGTTATAATAATGTATAAAATAGCTTATTACACTCACAATAAACATAATTTTGTACAAAGCTTGATTTATCTTATGGTTCTGTATAAAACAAACGATAATTGGAACATATTTCTTTAAAAAATAAGTTTTCATGCTTTTTAACTAAACAAAAAATGAGAAAAATAAACATGAATTCTGTACAAAATTAAAGCTATCAAGAAATTTCTTTCATAGAATTTTCTACATTATTGATATATCAAGTAACATTTGATGGTGGATTCAAAAATAGAAATAAAATATATATGTTGACGTGTTAGTTTTTTGTAAACGGGCAGTTTCCATGGTTACCGCATATGCCGACTGTCAAAATTACCACGCTTTCTTAAAAAATATCAGTATTATACTAAATGTTTTGTCAAATATACAACAAAAACATGTTCTTATAAAAATTTCTTTTCCTTTTGATGTTATATTAAGTAAATGATACTGAATATCTTTTTAAAACATATCTAGGGCCATATTTTTTTTTCACTCGACTAACATACCCGAACAGTAAGCAAGTATTCAGAAATTTACAAAGAAAATAATGAAATTCGGAACATTTCTTGGATATTAATGTTGTTTTTTTATTCAACACTTTTAAAATATATCATTTTAAACTTCTTTGCCCAGTTGTCTGCCAGTAATCAAGTCGCGACGCACTTTCGTCACTATACCACAAGTGGGTGGGGTAACGCGCGCAGAATTATCATCAATGCTGTCGTACTAATGCTTGGAGAAATCCTTTATGTGATGTTGTCTAAACGACCTCTTATTCTTTTGAACCGATCTCCTTTTGAACATTTAGAAATATCTATTCTGTATTATTTACTCGTTATTTGCTTATAGCTGAAATTTAAACACTTATCCGAATACTATTCAACTTGTCCTTCATTTGAAGAGTAATTATCCGAGATTATCTTTCTTGGAAGCGCAAAACGATGCGCACAGAAAACTACCGAAAATGTCTTTAAGGCAGCACAGCAGCAGCAAAGATTCTGCACATTCCCTTTTATGTGAACATATGAGCTAAAATTGGAGGTAACACAAAAGGGACAAGCATTTATAGAGCAGACATAAATAATGAGACATTTATTTAGTGTTTAAGCCTTAAAAAACAGTGGCATGGGTTCGTCACATGGCATTGTTGAAGTGAGATTCAAGTCAAGTTGGTATTAGATTACTAAAGGTAAATGATGCAGAGATAAACAGACTGACATATGATTCCAGTATAGCCCTTCCCATGCCCACATATATAATTATGGTGTTTTTTCAAAACGTTTTACAATCATGAGTGTCAAGTAAGTAATCAATTTTTTAACAACACTTACCTTTTTTATTTATCATACAGGAATGGCAAGGTGGATCTGTTACATTTTCTGCAACATCTAGAATGCAGCTTGGACTAAAGTCTTTATACATTTTCTGAAGGAATATACACATCATTGAGTTAAAAATATCAATCATATATTCAAAAGTTTAGAAAACATAACAAAACCATCCAAATGTTGATATATACAACAAAATACAATACAAAAAGTTATGAAACCCCTAAATTTTAAGTAAAAACTTGAAATGTGTCCCTAGGACATGGATGCCCCCACACACCACTGTTTTATCAGTCGAGGACAGTATGACAGACGAAGGAAATTCTACATTACACCGCCTACACCTAAGCAGTTAGGCCATAAATACAACCAAATTTTTCCCAAAGTTATTAACACACATGCTGGACAACATTCCTGAAAAAGTTTCATGACTCCAAGTTAAATACTTTTGGACTACGGGTGACACAAGTTAAAAATGCAATTTTTTACTAAGTCAAGGGCAATAACTCTACAAATAAATAATTAATCCTCAAGCAAACCCCTTGGTGTACAACTCCACATACTGACCAATATTTCTTTTAAGTTCCACTCTATGTGAAAATTCACAAATTTACACTGTGAACAAAATGCCTGCAAAGTTGTGTACTATAGCTTAAATACTTAAATATCAGCCCCTCCCCACCAAGTGGGAGGGCATTAATAAAAGAAAAGCACACAACTAAAATTGCAACGTTTGTCTCGTTATTTTGTCATTTTTGTAAAGAACTGGTTACTATAATGCATAATTATGTTAATTTTACATAATTGTAAACTATAAAAAAGCAATTTGATTCTGTAATTAATGATCTTTGTTTTAAGAATAAAGATTCCATTCGTTATTGTCAACGTGACTTTGGACCTAAATTTAAAATGAATAGTTTTTATTAATGATCAAACCTCACACAAAACTTTAAAACTTTCAACCTTAGCATTCTTAAGTATGGTCTGATAAGCTGTCAGTTGTCAAGGCCTATGCGACCTTCACCTTTGACAGACTGGCCTCAAATTAAAAGGGGAGAAAGGGAGGACGAAAGGCCTAAAATTACATGATATGCATTACATTTTTATGAAGTATTAAAAAAAGACAATGCACATGAAACATTTAAAACATTTCCATTTTATCATTAATTATCATAATTATTATATATTACATGTAACTCCTCGATGACATTTTTTGTGAAATCTTGAACCTTCCAATCAGTAACAGGTTCTAGCAGTTGTGTTGCAATATCTTTCAGTTTTCCATATGCATTATCTAGATTTTCATAGTTCCATATCTTTTCCTGTAAAGTATTAATAGTACATAACTAAATCCCAAAATTATAAATTATGTTTTTAATGGCCATGGCTTAACGATGTTATTGTTTTATTGTTATATTACACTGTGAAGTCTTATGTTGGACAGTTAATAACAGTATATAATACCAGATAATAAAAATAAGATTGCAATTGTGAAAAAAATGCTATATCACCTCATTAATACAACACTAAATAGTAGGATCAAATGTAGATTACATTTCGTTTGTACAATTGAAAATTGCCATATCGCAGGAATCTAGTATATTTGGGGGTTATGGTCATATTTTAGCATTTATATGAAAGGCCACAGCAGATATGTCTTTATTGTCAGATACAAGTGCCAAAGTGTTATGATTGCTTCAAAATAAAATTATTCTTACTAGATAAATATTTTGGTATAATATTAATTGTATTACATAGCTGTATTAAACTTTGAAATACAGTTTCAGTTATTTTTCTTAAATACTGTCTTTTTAATTAAGCATTGCATATTTCTGAAAATATAAAAAAAATACATTTATGATTTAAAATCGTCAAGGTTCAGAACTGTTCACTATTAAGGGGAAATAGTGTGTAAGCGGCCTGATTGCTCAGGCATTTGAATCTCAGTACAGAAAAACACTGAAAACCGGACCCTGTCTGGACTTGACCAAAAGTCCGGTTTTCAGAGGATTCCGGTTTTCAGAGGTTTTATACATTTATTGATAATTATGATGTGTTTGAACAATGACTTTGTTCAATCATTTTGTATTTACTTTTCAACCCTTTTATCTAAGTCATATGAAAAGTGTAATTAATGGAATTTAGTATTTTTATTTAAGGTATTAGCACCCTAATGCATTACCTCCGCGTTGAAGAGTATTCAAATAGGCTAGAATTACTGTTAACTACATTAAAAATGAGGGCCATGGGTTCAATCCCCAGAAGGGCCAACTTTTTTTTTTCTTTCTTTTTTTCTTTTAACATTATTTATGTATCTGTCATGTCCCATATGGAAAGAAAAAAGTGTTTAATTTTGAATTTTTAATTTATTTAGGTATTGGCTAATTTATGCTAAATCTAGTAATAAATATGGTACCTAATATTTTCAAAGTGTAATATAATCAAAACTAGACGGTAAAAGTATTTCATATTTTACAAGATCAACCAATATACTTTTTTAAAAATTTAGGGAAACTTTGAAAACAGGCACTCATTTGGGTAAATTTTAAGAATTTCATGAATTAGGCTCCCTTAGTAGAAAAATGGTCAGACATGTGGTAAAAATGGGTGGGGTAGGGTAACATTTTTATACAGATTTCATAAATTTTAAGTAGAAACCATAATTTTGCTTATGTGGATTGTTAGCTGAATGGTACTATTTGTTTCTTACCAAAAATTCATGGGAAAACATTTTTCATTAGAATGTTATTGCAGATTATTTAAAGGTTCCTCATTTCTAAAAAAGGGCCCTCATAACATCTTAGCTTGAGTTCAGAAAAGTGGCCATAACTTGATTTCCGTACGGTAAACTTTGTTTAAATTTTGCATACAGGCGTACTTTAAGGTATACATCTGACCTATGATGTCATTTCTTTAGTTCCTGATAGTGCCCATTAGGGTCCTAATACCTTAAGTATATAATTAATATCCAAATAAAGATAATTTCACGGTCAAAATTTTAAGTACAACAGGAATCATTTAAGAAAAGTATTCCAATTTTTATTTAAAACAACCCAATAAATATAAAATATTAAAAAAATCATACCCTATAGTATACAGGGAAAGACACACTTATGGTGAAAGAGCTTTAATTTAATTGCCAATAAGAAATTAACACACACTTTCAAGTGTTTTCACACCTGCAGAGATAAAGAGGAGGTGATCATTAATTGGTAATTAAACATGTCACCAGTTGAGTTTATGTTTTAATGTATATCAAAATACACAGAAAGTTGACACTTAAAATTATTGTCCGGTTTTCAGAAGATTTTTGTGCATGTTTAGCATAAGAAACCATAAGAAATCGTCCGGTTTTCGGAATTCCGAGGTTCCGGTATTTAGAGGATTTTTTTCAATGAACATATAAGGAGAAAATACGGGACTTTTAAATTTGTCCGGTTTTTAGAGGATTCCGGTTTTCAGAGGGTCCAGTTTTCGGAGTTTTTACCAGTCCTGATGCATATTTTGTCACCATGTAATATTTGACAGCCAACGGGAGACCGTGATTCAATAAAGCTCAGCGTTCAATTCTGATTGCTCTGTAACCCTGAGACATTCGCAAACGATTGTCAATATAGCGGGACAGTATGTCACGGTTCAGAACTATTAACAATTTAGGGGAGATGATGTGTAAGCAGTCGGATAGCTCAGTGAGTCGGGCTTTGGTACGATATTCCGAGAGTCCCGGTTCGAGTCCCAGTCAGGCTGCAAATTTTCACACCTGTTTAATCAATAATTATATACCGATCATTTCATAAATATACTTGCAAAGCCGACATTACTCTTATACTAGAGGTCACAACCTCAAATCATTTCATAAGATTCTCTGAAAGCAAACCAATCTCCTTTGCTAGAGGAGATGACCTTTAGACAAAATTCAAATAATTATATTTTAAAAAATGCAAAGCATGTACATATGTACAAGAGGGCCATGATGGCTCTTAAATCGCTCACCTGAATATAAATACTCTTAATGGCAAGAGACAAGTGATATCGCAAACTATAAACGAAACTAGATCTTAATCTTGAACAATTCTCCTACTTTTCATATTTGTACTAAAAATGGAGCGCTTGGAGAACATTACTGGCTGCTTTTGCTAAGGGAAACAAGAGATACTTAAGAAGTCACTGATTGCTTTAAAAATAATCAGTGGTTTCCCTGAAAGTGCTATGAAATTTAATGGTAGATTCATTTGTTGCTACGAAAGTTAATGTTTGCTATGGAAGTCACTAACTGCTATGTAAAAAGTCAATGTTTGACTGGTTGCTTTGAAATTTACAGTTTGCTATGAAAAGTCAATGTCTACTTGCTATGGAAAGCTAACAATTGCTTTGTGAGTCATTGATAGCTAGGGAAATTAATTTGTTCTTATGAAAAATTAATGGTTGCTATAAATTTAATAGTCACTTTTGCTATGGAAGTCATTGGTTGCTGGAGAATGTTATCGGTTGCTATGGAAGTCTATGATTGCTATGGATATTCAGTGGTTGCTACGGAAAAGCAATGGTTGATACTGAAAATCAAAGGACAAAATTTGTCACTGGTTGCTTTGGAATGTCAATAATTGCTATTGAAAGTCATAATTGCAATGGCAAGTCACTGGATACTTTGGGAAGTCATTCGGTGCTCTAAATGTATATGGTAGCAATAGAAAGACAATGAATGCTATGGAAAGTCACTATGAGCTATGGAATCCACTGGTTGTTCTGAAAAGTTAGTGGTAAAATGGAAAGATAATTGTTGAAATATTAGTCACTGGTTTTAATTGAAAGTCAATGATTGCCATGGACAAGCACTAGTTGATATGGCAAGTCAATTGTTCTTATGGAACATAAAGTGTTGCGTTTGAAAGTCATTGGGTGCTACCTCAGTCTATGGTTACAATGAAAAGTAAACAGTTGCTATGGAAGTGATTGGTGTCTATGGAAAGAAGATGTTGCTATGGAAGTATGCTATGGTAGTCAAATGGTTGCCATGGAAAATTAAAGTTTTCAATTTGGTCACTGGTTGCTGTGTAAAGTCAAGGGAAGTCACTTTTTCTATCAAAAACCATAGGTTGCTCAAGAGGTCTATAGCTGTTAAAGAAAGTCCATGGTTGCTATGTAAGTCACTGGCTGCTATGGAAGCCACTGATTGCTATTGAAAGTCACTGGCTGTTTAGGAGATTTATGGTTGCATTGGAATGTCAATGGCTGCTATGTAAGTCACTAGTTGTAATGTAACCACTGCTTGCTTTGGAAGTCAGGGGTTTCTTTGGAAACTCATTAGTTGCTTTGGAAATGTATGGTTGCTTTAAAAAGTCAATGGTTTTTAGATATTAAGCCATTACCACCTCAGGTAAAATTTGAGGGAGGGATGTTGCACTTATTCATTATCCCTCATGTACAGACTCAATCAAACCGAGTCTGTAATTCTTATGTTATTTTGTTGTGATTAATGCTTCCGAGGGATCACTTTGTTTCCAAAATTTTTAACAAATTTAGTTGGTGTATACTAGATAATATTTGTTTAAAAGTTATTATTGCTATATTCTATTAAAAACTAGAAATGTGTCATCATGCCACGGATGCCCCCGCATGCAGCCAAAATTTCAAATGTTATAATATTTAGTTCCAAATTTGTTTGCACAAATTATTTTTTTCATTCTAAGTTCAAAGCCCTTAAAACTTTTCAATGTTAACACAAACCATTTTTATACAATGTTCAAGGCACTGAAATTATTCAGTCTTAACCATTTTTATACAATGTTCAAGGCACTGAAATTATTCAGTCTTAACCTTTTAAAAATAGCATATTGCATATTTGTAGCCAACATAATGGCTATATACATTTCCACAAAAGTATGAGTGCTGAAACTGAAAGTTCAAAATTTTTCCAACATTCAGGAAAGATAAGTTTGTCTAAAATCATTGAACCACGACCAAATTCAAACTTAAACTGCTTATTCCTAAGATGTATCTATATTATTTTCAAAGTGAAAGGGACATAACTCTGCCAAAAAATCATCGAACCATGACCAAATTCCAACTTGACCTGCCCATTCCTTTGACATATCCATATGTCAATTTTGAGTTGAATAATAATTGTAACACTGTTGGGTTGATAATGAACAGAAACTGTAAAGGGGCATTACTCTGCCAAAAATCATTGAACCATGACCAGATTCGAACTTGGTCTGCGCATTCCAAAAACATATCCATATGTCAAATTTGAGTTGAATGTGTAATATTGTTGGGGAGATAATAAACGGAAACTGAAAATTTCATATTATTTTTAAAGTGAAAGGGGCATAACTCTGCCAAAAATCATCGAACCATGACCAAATTTGAAATTGACCTGCACATTCCTTTGACGTATCAATATGTCAAATTTGAGTTGAATGTTTAATACTGTTGGGGAGATAATAAACAGAAACTGAAAATTTCATATTATTTTCAAAGTAAAAGGGGCATAACTGTGCCAAAAATCATCGAACCATGACCAACTTTGAACTTGACCTGCGCATTCCTTTGACGTATCCATATGTCAAGTTTGAGCTAAATGTGTTGTATGATTGGGGAGATAATGAACGGAAACTGAAAATTTCATATTATTTTCAAAGTGAAAGGGGCATAACTCTGCCAAAAATCATTGAACCATGACCAAATTCAAACTTGGCCTGGGCATTCCAAAAACATATCCATATGTCAAGTTTGAGTTGAATGTGTTGTACCATTGGGGAGTTAATGAACGGAAACTGAAAATTTCATATTATTTTCAAAGTAAAAGGGGCATAACTCTGCCAAAAATCATCGAACCATAACCAAATTTGAACTTGACCTGTATTTTCTCATGACATATCAATATGTCAAGTTTGAGTTGAATGTGTTGTACCGTTGGGGAGATAATGAACGGAAACTGAAAATTTCATATTATTTTCAAAGTAAAAGGGGCATAACTCTGCCAAAAATCATCGAACCATGACCAATTTCGAACTTGACCTGTATTTTTCTCATGACATATCCATATGTCAATTTTGAATTGAATGTTTTGAACCGTTTGGGAGATAATGAACGGAAACTGAAAATTTCATATTATTTTCAATGTAAAAGGGGCATAACTCTGCCAAAAATCATCGAACCATGACCAATTTCGAACTTGACCTGTATTTTCTCATGACATATCCATATGTCAATTTTGAATTGAATGTTTTGAACCGTTTGGGAGATAATGAACGGAAACTGAAAATTTCATATTATTTTCAATGTAAAAGGGGCATAACTCTGTCAAAAATCATCGAACCATGACCAATTTCGAACTTGACCTGTATTTTCTCATGACATATCCCATATGTCAAATTTGAGTTCAATATGTGCAAGGGTTATTAAGATAATGAACGGAAACTGATGATGACGGAAGGACGGAAGGACGGAATGACGGAATGACGGAATGACGGAACAGGGTAACACTATATGCCCCTGCCATTATATGGCGGGGGCATAATAAACTCTTGATTTTTTTAAAAATAAAACTTCAAACGCAAAAAAACAAGAAAACAGCTTTTTAAGTCTTTTATAATCATATAGAAAAAATCTTTACAATAGACATGACAAGGTATGATAGTTTCTTACAAATATTTTATTTGTGACATCCTTAGCTTTGAAATCCTCTTCTGACATGTTCATCAAGAATTTTGTTTTGTTGCCTTCTGGTCCAAAATCGTAAATCATTTCTTTCACAACTGTGTGTTAAGAAGTAAATGAGACATTATTTCAAATTACTTACATTTCGTTTTGCACATTGTTAAATTGTTAAAAGATTTATGTACTTATTTTTTAATTTCAAACAAAAACTCAAATAGTCATATGAGAACAATTAACTATAAAAATATCTCAGTTCAAATGGTTGAGTTTTACATCATGCCAACAAAGTAAAAGTCACAAGATGACTTTCCAGCTTTACTGGGGGAGTAAGACCCCCGTGGCCTCTCATTTTTATTTCAGGCTTGAACGGGTGCCCGGAGTGAACCATTGATGTTAAGTATGACATTTAGCAGAATTAATTACTCATTTAAAAGAATCCAAAGCCCTCATCGGGATTCAACCAACAGTAGGTGTTGGGCAATTGGTTCAAAGTCAAAGACCTTAACCACCATGGATCACGAAAACCCTCAATGAAGTTTCATGTTAGGAAATTATATTGGTTCATATTATGCCTTTTGTCACAATTTAAGCCCCTTCAAAACGAATAAGGCTGGCCAATGTAATGTCTGGCCTCGAAAAATAAGGTTATTGTCAAATTTCAGTGTAAAAAATCATGGGGAGACTGACATTTTGTATGACTGTACATTCAGCATAGTAAAACATTTGATAATATTTTAATCAAATTCACCAGTTAAATATAAATTATGAGGTACTACAGTACTACACTATTTTATTTAGGGAAAGAATAAACTAATCTACGAATCTATTAATAGCACAAGGCAGTCTGAAGGATAGCTAAATCCCCTTCTGCAGTGAACATGAATGTTGTACTTCCTGATCTTTTACCAGTTGTGCCATGCATATGATAAGCACATAGTCTCAAGATGGTGATTATTTTAAGTTATATTTAAGTTTTTTAAAATATTTCCATAATGTAAAAAAGTTATGGAGAACATAATTATAACCTTGACACTAGGGGTATTTAAAAGTTATGGAGGGGACATGAAATGTAGACTTTTATATATTTGACCTTAAGTGTGACCTTGACCTTGGGGGAAACAACTCAATTATTGCGCTCTGCACATGTTCTGATGATGGTGACCAATTTTGCCAAGATATTTATTTAAACATTCAGTGGTTAAAAAGTTATGGAGCGGACACGAAATGTAGACTTTTATTCATTTAACCTTGACCTTTTAAATAGCAACAAGATTATTGCGCTGTGCTCGTTGTCTCATTATGGTGATCACTTGTGCCAAGTTATTTTAAAAAAACTTTTGAGCGGTTAAAAAGTTATGGAGCAGACACGAAATGTAGATTATACTTGTTGTTATATTTTTCTGGTCCTTCGGGATCATTGATGCCAGCGATTTTAAGTGTTTTGGAATTGAGTACCGCTCAAGCCATTGCTAGGGGCGTGAGGGATGTTGCATTTATTTATTATTTCTCATTGTACAGAGTCAATCAAACCGAGTCTGCAATTCTCTTGTAATTTTGATGTGACTAATGCTTCTGAGTGATGACTTTGTTTCCGGATTTTTATTATTTAATTAAGACTTTTAACGTTTGATCTTAAGTGTGACATTGAACATCGGGGTAGCAACCCAACATCTTGCACTGTGCACATCGTCTCATTACGGTGATAACTAGTGCCAAGTTATTTCAAAAACTTTTCAGCTATTTAAAAGCTATGGAGCGGTTACAGAATGTAGACTTTTTATTATGAAATAAAGACTTTTTAACGTTTGACTTTTAAGTATGACATTGATCTTGGGGGTAGCAACCCAATTATTTCGCTTTGCAAATTGTCTCATTATGGTGATCACTTATGCCAAGTTATTCTAAAAACTTTTCAGCGGTTTAAAAGTTATGAAGCAGACACGAAAGTGTTACGAACGGACAGACAGAGGGCTGAACTGACAGACGGAGGCCATTCCTATAATCCCCTTTTCGCTACGCGGAAATGGATTAAAAGTCTCACTTTCAAGAGGGCCCAGAGGGCCCTGGATCGCTCACCTGGGAAATATGTTAAACAGATAAAGTTAAGCCCCTTTTCACCCAAGAAGAAAAAGCGAAAATTAAACATGGTGAAAAACACCGGATTTACAGTATATAAGAATAAAAAAATCAATGACCCTCGGGACAGGGCCAATTTTGACCCTTAAGGTAGATGATAGATTTCACTAGAACATGTTTCATGCCAAATATCTAAGCTCTTACTCTTTTGGATTTTCAAAAGAATATTTTTATGTTTTCTACTTTATACATGTTTATTTAAGGACAACAGGGCCATGAAGTCACTTACCTGTATAGAGAACCCGGGGCGGGCCAATTCAAACCACAGGGCTTTTATTTGAACAAACTTGGTAGACAACCATTAGAAAATGTTTCATGCTAAGAGTTTTCTAAAAGAAGATTTTAAGTTTTATCTACACACATACAGAATAAACAATGACCACCCTCCGGACAAGGCCAATTTTTACACCATGGCTTTTATTTGAACAAACTTGGTAGACACTCACTCAATGGTGTTTCATGATTGATATCTATAAACTAGCTCTTTGGATTTTTTAAAGAAGATTTTTTAAGTTTTTTACAATACACACATAAGGAAAAACTATGACTGTAAGGCGGTGCGAATTTTGACCTAGGGCTTTCATTTTGTATGGTTTTGCTATACACATATAAGGTAAATCAATGACCCCCCGGGGCGGGGCCATTTTTTACCCCAGGGCTCTCATTTCAACACAGTTGGTAGACACCCATTAGCAGATGTTTCATGCTTAATATCTTAAAATATTTACTATATACATAACGAGAACACCAATGATCCCTGGTGCGGGACAAATTTGAACTCCAGGGCTTTTATTTGAACAAACTTTGTAGACACCATTAAGAAAGATGTTTCATGCTAAAATATCTTAGCTCTAGCTCTTTTGGGTTTTTCAAAAGAAGGCATTCAAGGTTTTTTTTCCTGTGGTTGCCATGGCAATCAGAATTCTGCATGGAATTAAATTCTTTGAATATTTTTTAAAAGTGACCACCAAAGGAACAAATCCTGTGAAGTTTTGATGAAAAATTTGCTTAGTGGTTAATTATTGGGAGATGTCATTTAAAGTAAAAGTTTATAGACGCCAACCGAAAAGCGAAAAGTGACAGGTGAGCTAAAAAAGTAAATGTGATTACCTTATTTCTTTATTAATGAATTTCGTTTGACTTAAAATTTTTCCTTTTAACAGGAATGCTCGACTACACACAGTGCATGACAGCAGAAAAAAACAGATACCCTGTAACTAATGCATTATGGCAATTATACACATTATGTACAAATCACAGGACAAAGAAAGAGTTTAAGCAGTTCTAAGATTTTAAAATTTTTAACTTAAGTGGACCCGTACATGCCAAGACCAGGGTAACTACATTACCTCTGCCTATATTATCATTAAACCTTATTTCCAAAAAATGTTTATTGTAACAAAGTTGTCAGAAGATGATTTAATTGATACTCGGCAAATATTAAGAACTTTTCGCTTTTTCGTTTTCTACAAGAATATCTAAACAAAAAGTTTTTTATAATACAGCATGGGAGGTGGCTATATACTAAGAAATAAACAGACAAGGGACTATAGGCAAACACTTAAGTTAACTATGATTTACTAATTGCAGTTTCATATACTTACTGACACCAAAACATATAATAGTCCCAGCTCTCGTTTGCACCTTCTTTTCCTATATTAGGATGTGAATAATAAAATCTTCCACCAGCTATAGTTGATATATCATCCTCTTCTCTTGCCAAACAAAGTCAATAAGGCGGGCATTAAACATTTCATCCAACACGATATTTTAGAGGCTATATCTTTGTGAAGAATTACACCTCTGAAACACAACACTGACAAATCACAAGACAGGACAGTTTATATAACATTATATATAACTTCCTTGCAGAAGTTACCTTTTACAAATAATAACAGTCTTTAAACACAATACTACTTGAGATGCATCAGTGGGATCGCTGATATCTTGTACAAAATATTGCAATGCTTACATAATTTCTGGATATTTTCTTTATAAAATAAACATGACACAATAATAACTTATTCCATGTTTATGTATTAATAACATCATGGGAAATATTTTTCTTTGATAAAATCAATAGGACACAAGAATAGCTTTCCTTCACAACAAATTCCATGTTTACATAATTTGAGTGTATTACAACCGTCCGTAAAAATATTAGCTTCATTAAAACAAAAAGATACAATTTGCTTTCCTTATCTTTTTAACTATATTATAATAATGTAATTTCAATTTAAAACCTGCTAAATAAAACAAAAAGGGCATGACCGCTCTATATATCGCTCACCTTGTAATATAGGCTCTGAATTCATATTGTTTTTGTTTGTTTGTTTGTTTTGGGTTTTACGTCATATCGACATAGTATAGGTAATATCGCGACGTTCCAGCTTTACTGGTGGAGGAAAACTTCAGGTGCCCTTCCGTACATATTTTAGGCACGAACTGCAGCTGAGTAGAACCACCGAAGTTCCATAAGCTAGCTGGATAGCTTCCTCACATGAAAGAATCCAAAGTCCCTGTCGGACTCGAACCCACAGCGGTGAGAGGCAAGTGATTTGAATTCATATTGTTAGCAATGTGAGAATTAAAAGCAGATGTAAGGTTTTACAATTAAAAACCGGCATCATAACATTCGTATCGGCGACTCAAATAATGCAAACGTTTATAAATTTGTCCATATACACGGTGATAGGGCGATTACCACAACTTTTCCGCGCAACGTCAAAATATCATCCTTCTGACCGAGACACCGTAATATTTCTGGTTAAAATATCAATGGCGGGATAAACAAATTCCAAGGTAATAGCTTACAAAATATCTTACTGCTGGACATTGCAAGATTATTTCAATTGTTTAAGTATTCCATCGAATTTTTGAGACAATTTATTGTTAATCTAGCACAATACAATTCACACACAAACATATACTTCGAAGAAATTTTTGTTTACAAAAGATCGAGTGTACCTCACGATGACTCGTACCTTTGTCACAAAAACATGAGTTATAACGACGATGTATTTATTTCTATGACCTAACGAGCTCGTTATATTTATTATGGTTAACCCTAAGTTCAAGTTCCATACAAAATTGTGTGTTTCTATCGTAAATTTCAGGGGAATATATGTTGAAAAAAGGCCTACTGACCCGAATATTGGAGCACCGTACAACACTGAATTCAAACACCGCATTCTTTTTCCGTTAGACCGATAAATACTGGCACCGTCTTCTTTTGAATTATACAATCTTTTCTTACAAGTATGTTTTATTTGATGAAACATTTTTACTTGCTGTTATGTTATGTCATACGTTATGTTATGGAAAATTTCTGTAGGTCTGATCTGTGTTAATACTACCAGTTAGATAAGTGCAATGGTATCTATATATAGATAAGGATGTCTTTTCCTTTTCGAACTTATTCAAACTGATAAACCCCACATGGAAAGATTGAAGTTCTTGGCAGACTATACCATCAAACAACATCGAGAAACAAAAGGAATGAAATATTTGTTAATGCATACTAATTTGATAAAGTTGCAAAAGTCATAACACAAATTTTCATGGTGTAGTTTTTGCAGGAACCCGGGCAATATTTCCATAATCTCTTCAGTCAAGCATATCGTCCTGAAATACAGGGAGCGGCTGATCAAATTGGCGTACTGCTGATATCAGAAGACTTATTTGGGTGCTCTCCAGTTGCTGCAGTATCTGCAGCTTTGCCAATTTCGCACGTTGCTTTGGCTTGTCCAGACATAGGTTTGAACGTCTTTTTTTTCTGAAAGCAAACATTAATATAAAAAATAAACAGAAAAATGTGGTGATTTTAAGGAGGAATAATGCGGTTGCCCTAATCTTATGATTGACAAAGTTGTGCGGTGCCTTAAAATACACACGTGGAAACATAAAAATCATACCAAATATACAAAAAACGGGTTATTTATGTATTGTAACTTGTTTCATACGACAATAATGTACATATTTTATATTGTATTTTGACCAGTTATATGAACTGAACGGACTAGAAATACGTTATATTTCGTAATCAAAGCAAGATTTTTTTCAGTATGCCCTAAATGTTTTCACTATCCTGACTTAATTAATGAAGCATTTTGCATGTAGTAAAGATAAATAAGTATCAAATTAAATGGCACATTCGATGAAAAAGAAAAAAATGATGATTTTACCTTGTTTTGAGCAAATTACCTGCTGTTTTCGTCTTGGTTACAGGCTTGCTGTCCATTTTGTACCACAGAAATATACGGTGTCTTGGACAGAAGTAAGATATTTTGACGTTGCGCGGAAAAGTTGTGGTAATCGCCCTATCACCGTGATATATGCCTTTTGTCACATATAGTCTTTGACCCAAGCCAAGATGACCCATATTCAAAGTAAAGCTATACTCATCAAAAAGATCAAGTATCATTTCAAGTACTTTGGGTTACAATAGCTACAGTGTTGACAAAGGTTTCCCATATTTGGCCTGTGTGGCCTAGTTGTTGATTCCCAGATGATCAATATTCACACTAGAGCTACAAAGCATCTAAATGTCAATTTCTGACGAATTTCTATGATATTTAGATCAAAACAGTAGCCTCATAGAAGTAATACATGTATTACAAGTTGTTTTTTTCCATATTTGTATGTGGGCTACTCTCAACATTTTACTTTTTCCAAAAGCAAACAAATATAAAGAAAAACAAATCTTTAAAAAAAGAAAATTAAAGAAAAAAGAACAGGCGTTCCTATTCTTAAATTTCGATAAGTTGGTCTATTCACACTTGTTGTTTTGTCAATACCATAATGCTCAATGATCAATTTTACATCTGAAACTCTACACAAATTTCAGAAAACAGGAAAGTGGGTCACTTCATCCAAATTTAGGCCAGCTGATATCAAAGTTCAATTTAAATCACAAACTGTGCATATGGTCTTAATTGCCTAGCTATACATCAAAGGACAATATAGAAGGTCACTTTATCATTTCTAGGTCAGCTGGTATCAAAGTTCAATTTTATATCAAAATATGCTTACATGGTTTATATTTCATAGCTGTGCAATTCAGGAAAAGGAAGTAGGTCACTTAATCAAATCATCTAAGTCAGCTGATATCAAAATTCAAAAATAGGTCACTGTCAAAATCTAGTTCAGCTGATATCAATGTTCAATTTTACTTCTTAAACAAAACAAATAGTCCAAATGTCTTCACTTCACTTCATTTTTTGAATATTTGATAAGCAGAGTATGAATTAAAAAGTATCAAGTTGAAAATATTACTTTACCAGCTTTAATATATTGGTGTGATGTACGATTTTTGAGAGTGCATTTTTTGCCGACACAAATAGTATTCAGTCATGTACATTCAAGAATTTTTACTTTTAAAGCCTTTACTTTTTTTGAAATTACATAGATTCATATTGTTTAAAATGTTTTTAATAAACCACTATCTTGCAATTAATTATTACGCAGCCGTTTTTCGAAACTACAGAATCCTTACATTTTTGAAACTATACATAAATTTTGGTATTGTATATTAGCAGAGACATAGATACATTATCTATATCTCTGGTATTAGAAAGTTGGTATGATTAAACTGGCTGGTAAAATTTTCATTTTTAAGAAATTTACGAAAATGGTAATAATGATCAGTTACCCATCAATATGTTCTACCAGTAAAACAAATCGTTAACATTATTAAGTAAACATTTGTATTCATTTCACCACCCTTTTTATGTAATATCTTATTCAATTACACAAAAATTTGCAATTTCAATCTTACAAGAGAAAGGATTAAGATCTTTATATCCCTCTATTAGTGTACATAATCGTATCGACATTATCCACCGTATCCCCCATGACGTCATCTTGAATACGGTCTTAAATAAAAGGATCTATACGAAGCATAAAATTGTGCTATTTCAAAAGATTGAGGTATGGATTTCAGGACTTTCAGTCCAAAATTATGATCAATGCTAGATCTGCAAATGCAACAATAAACTTCTTAAGAAAATAAAATGAAACATGGAATTCAAAAATCTATCATGTTTAGCTTTGACCCCTAAGTGTTACCTTGACCTTGGAGGTAGGGGTACAGGTGTTGTGCATGACATATCGTCTTATTATTGTTACTATTTATGGCAAGTATTTTCAAATCCCTTGACCTATGAAGAAGTTATAGATCGAACACAAAATATACCATATAACAGACTATATTAATCTTTGACCTCTTAGTGTGACCTTGGAGGTAGGGACCCATGTTTTGCGCCTGGCACATCGTCTTATTATTGTTATTATTTGTGTAATGGACTGGACACAAATATACCCTATTACAGACTATGTAAATCTTTGACCTCTAAAAGTGACCTTCACCTTGGAGGTAGGGATGCAGGTGTTGTACCTGACATATCGTCTGATCATTGTGACTTTTTGTGCCTAGTTATTTCCAAATCCCAAAGAAGTTCTAAAACGGACACAAGATATACCCTTAAACAGACTATGTTAACTTTTGACCTTTTTAGTGTGACCTTGACCTTAGAAGTAGGGATGCAGGTGTTGCGCATGACGCATCCTCTTATTATAGTGACTATTTGTGGCAAGTATTTACAAAATCTTT